ACATGACCTAGCACACATTCGAGTGGTAGTTTCGAATGATAATTTCGATTTCAAATCACCCGGTAAATTGTTCTTCTGTACGTATAAGATACGTATGCAAGGGATGTTTTTCCGTACGAAAACACCGAATGTCGTCGAATTTTGCTTGTAGTTGGCTTAAAGTTACCCCAACTGTTCGCTTGACTGTGAAAGTTTGATATTTTTCTCTGATTTGTAGAAATTGTAGAAAACACATTACACAAAACGTTTATTTTTTAGAGTCGGACCGGTTTCAAGATTGCGTTCACTCTAAAGTAATTGTCGTCAAATTAATCTCATTGGTGTTATTATTGCTTGTACACCAGCTGGCCGTGTCTGTACCTGTGTCGTGTACGTACAGGGTCGGCGCCCTCCTGGCCCGTGACCTGTCTTGTGTATTGAACATAATGCTTCGGAATGCGCATGTGCATGTCTGGGTGAATCTTGACAATCAAACAATAGTTGTGGTCATGGTATACGCGTATTGTTTGGTTATTGGTGCATGGTAACTAAGGAGTGTGTTGTAAACATTATATTCAACAACCGGAAAAATGGTGAGTACTACACTCCTGATGCTCTGTTTATTTAAATTGAATACACATTGACAATCCATATTTCCAGAGAATGTATATAAAATCTCTGTCACGGCATGGAAATGTCACAATGTAAATGAGCCACTAATACGTAATGAGTGCCTACTAAAGAAAAATATACTGTGTATGTTCCATTCGACTGTTCGATAACTGCCACCCGATACCTTAACGAATATGTTACTTGAATCACAGTCCCTCAACTGTGAGGGACTGTGCTTGAATCCTTGCGTGTTCAATTTTCAGGTTCATGGTCAATATACTATGGTGCTTATTATGTAGTTTTGTTTTCGCCTAAAAGTTCTACACTGACTGTCGTCCGCTAAACATAACGGATACTGGGTAGTGCCAATGGTAGTACTATGGGGAAATGCTACAATAACAATATAAACCCACTTTTGGAACTCTGTGTCGCTCTTGCAATGACGTTTAATGTCGGGATCTGTCGCCTGGCACAAAAATATTTTGTTTAAATAAAAAAAATACTTATAGACTTAATGCTAACTCGCCATTGACTGGACAATGGTAATTCTACAAGACTTTATCAAACTTTCTATGACAAACAATGAATCCAATTGTGTGAACGCAGTGTATATTTAACACCCGGCCTGTCCTTGAATGGAATGTTACGCTAAAAGGTACGGCATAACTGTGTTACTGTTCTAGATCAGCTGGATCTAGTGTCATTACTTGTTGCTATACATGGTGACATTGCATCCTTGACAACCACATTATGTTGGGAAGCTAATGTTAGAGTGGCTCAATTTCATTTTGTTTTAGATAAGCCTATTCTTTTTAATTACCTTTATATGCAACCGGTTTCATTCGCAGCTGAATATAAACACATTTCCAATTAGAGTTTTATTTCTTATAATAAGAACATTATTTTTCAATTTACAGACGGACTGCAACATACCCGAAGATGTTATGTCGAGTTTATCCACGGAGCAGGTAGCAGGTACTACTAGTTTATATGTTTTGATGTGACTGTATAGTACATACAGAGGATATTTCATTAAATATATATTAAACCATCTTGAATTTTCAAGGTGAATGTTCGGCGAAGCACTCCACTATCACCTTGAAGTATTGCAAAACATGTTGAAAAAGCGACATGCAATTTTAGCCAATTGTGGTAAAATGACGTAATAGCGAAATGTTGATTTAGCGATCTCTCGTTGATTTCCTGTTTTCACAATACTTGTCTGTTGCATGCCAAAACAAATGCGCAGTTATCATCTCCATAAAACAACGAAAACTGTCAAGTGTAATTTGATTCTGTTCGTAATCATAAAAAAATGATTCAACGGGGATTTGAAATAGCGAGTATAGTTGCTGCGTTACATCCAGAACACTGACCTTTTATTGGGACTAAAAATTACCAAGTACTACTAATTTCCGTAATAATATATATCAGTATCATTTAATTTATTTATTTTTCTTGAAATAATGACCACAATGAATACGTTTATTTTTTTGTGTTAATAAAGTGTATCTATCATGTCAGTACGGTGGAGAAAGGGCGTTGTTTGGCAGCCATTTTGAATGTATAATAAAGTCATTAGCGACATCTTGAATTAGCGAATTAGTTCTCTCGCTAAATTCGCGAAAAAGACAATGCCCTCACAGTTTAGAATCAGTTTACCAACAGCCAATCATATTGCTTCTTTCATCAACGCGCTTGGCAGACGCGCACCCAAGTGCTTTTTGGCAGTCATTGTAACAAAGCTTTCTATTGGTCGGTAAACTTTCTATCGCGCAACCACGTGACATACACGGTATGAATAGAATTACCACACGGTGTTAGGGAGGGAGGAAAGTCCGAACGGAACAACACCGTGCAGGCGGACGATGATATCAAACGAGTGTAGTAATTTTCGTTTATTACGCGAGTTTGTTAAATTTGGTATTGCAGGTTCCCTCATGAGATATTCTGCTCATCCTATATTCACAATTTGTACTAAGATTATCTAATTGTATCTAATATTCATATTCTATATTTCTATCTATAAACCGTAATTTCTTCAGCGAAATGATTAATTCTCACATCAGATAGTCTAGCTTAAAGGCTCAAGATTGTGAGCCGACTCAGTCGCTCGAATAATAGTGTGTAAAAAAAACACCTTAAAATTCATCTCCTAAATTCAAAATTAATTAATTAATTGAGTAAGTAAATAAATAAATAAATAAATAAATAAATAAGTGGTCCCATTCACTCCGACACGGGCCTCCATATCCGGGCATCCGGGCAGTAATTAAGTGTTCAAACTAAATGCGATGATTTCGAGCATTACAAACTACGTAAATATAATTACATTATTTTACCTTAATATACCAAAATATCGTTCAAAAAGGTGAAATTTGGTTTTACCTAATGCGTTTTTATTATTTCGTATCACTTTCATTTACAGAATTCAGGGAGGGTTTTTCAATATTCGACAAAAATGGTGATGGCAAAATCGACAAGAAAGAACTTGGTACAGTCATGAGATCACTGGGTCAGAATCCAAGTGATAAAGAGATACTTGACATGATATCAGACGTTGACATTGACAGTAAGTAGTGACCCTCACAAACGACGTGTATTTGGAACCAATTTTACGTTGGTCTTTGTTCTTAATTTAAGTTGTAGTATAAATACTACATAAACATTCTCTTCGCGGTCACCTGAAACGTCATTATTCACTCAGCGGTGGGCTCGATAACTCGATCAGCCCAGCCATTATACCAGTATTAATCCGACACGAGATTCGGAGTGGGTAGTTCGTAGCATCTGATACGAAGTCGGGAGTGGGCATTCTATAGCACCTGAAAGAAGGTCTCTAGTGGGCAGTCTGTAGCATCTGAAAGAAGGTCTAAGGTGGACAGTCTATAGCATCTGAAACAAGGTCACTAGTGGGTAGTCTATAGCATCTGAAACAAGTTCTCTAGTAGCCAGTCTATAGCATCTGAAACAAGGTCTCTGGCAGCCAGTCTATAGCATCTGAAACAAGGTCTCTAGTAGCCAGTCTATAGCATCTGAAACAAGGTCTCTAGTAGCC